GGTAAACATACAGTATACTTGAATACAACCTGCTTCACAAAACCTGAGACATAACACTCCTCACTTGTTACTTTCTCACGGTGGCCATCTTTCTTATTTAAATACAGCTTTCTGTTCAGCAATCTATGTTAATATGGGATTTACATCACAATTTTTTGTGTGTGTGTGTTGCAGACATTGAGTGGCAAGGTTAGTGAAATGGTTCAGTGGTTGCTTCAGGAAGATTTATTGAATGTATATTTTCGTTATTCTTTCCAGTTCATTACATTTTGTTGTATAGTTTTTACATCTCTTAAGATGTTTCATAGTGTTAAAATGTTAATGGTATATTTTATGAGTTGTTCATCCAAGAACTGTCTTCCAAAAACATATTGTGTCTTATGTACTGTTCATTGCCATTTGGAAACCCATACTTTTTACATGAAAACATTTTAGAAGATGAACATATTTTCTTTATTACCCATAAACTTGAAAATAAATTTGGGCTCAAAATCACAGTGTTGGGTTTCAGATGTTAAATTTAGACTGTTGTCTTCAGAACTTGAAATAGTCCCTGTCAATTTCTATCGTATCTTCCCTCCCAACACCTACTGCCAGCCAAACTAGCAGTACTCTATCAGCTAAACATCTACATTTGTTAAACTATAATGGTACATGTGTTTCAGACCGCCTCCGTGGTGTAGTGGTTAGAGCGTCCGCGATCCCCGACCGCGTCATACCAAAAGACGTTAATATATGGTACTTGTTGGTCCCTGCCTGGCGCTCGGCATTAATGGGTACAACAAGGACTGGTCAGCACGGAGTCAATATAATGTGTCTGAGTGGGGTATTCATGCTTCACTGCGGCGTGGTATCTCAGTGGGCTAGCACTATAAAACCAGCTTAATTCTGGGCTAGTACAAGTAGCCACACATACACATACACACACATGCACGTCGTCATATGAGCGAAATATTCTCAAGCACGATTTTAAACCCAATTTCACCTCACCTCACGTTTTTCAAAGGGTTGGTGAGTGAGTATGTTTTACCCCACTTATATCAATTTCATAGCAAGGGACTCCAGAAATGGGCTGTTTCAAGCAAAATGCCCTCTGAGAATGATTGGAAAAGGCATTTTATTCTACAACAGGTGATGCAGTCTATGGTGACCATGATTGGTTGATTAAGAACGTAGGGTTAACCTGACTGAGCTGGTGAGAATGTTTCTAGAATACAATAGTCAACTGTTAATTGTAGGTGACATTGTGTTGGTCGATGGAGGCTGCAGTGTCAACCCACAGCATGTGGATCTGGCTGGCGAAACAGGGGTAAACACCATGTTGACCCAACAAACACACGATTGTTGGGGATTACTGTCGCCAGAGCCCTCGATGTACACAGATTACTGTGCTTGTCTTACTATGTTCTTAATGTAAGGAGCCCCACACTTCCATGCTTTGGGAAGTCAATCTTTGAGAGGAGGAATTTGTACCCAACTGTCTTGTGTCAGGGGCATTTCCTGGTCCCTGGTTCATCAACTGTTTACAGTGTTCACGAATAACGTCTGACCCTCTGACAAATCCGGCAGATTCGCCAACGGTCCAATAGAAGTCTACAACCCGCCGGTCCCAGTGTCTGACTGTATATTTGACACCTGAAACTTACAGGACCCAATGTCCTGTTACTTTGAAACACCATTCGTGAACACTGTGTTTACAGAAACATACATGCTACCTCATGATTCCAAATAGACATGGTCAAGAGGACATTTTGTTCTCCAAGACTGACATTTGGTGGCCATGATTATAATGACTGGTACGAGATTGCTCTGGTTTGGTCTCGTAGAACGGCTTTTTCATTGTTAATTTATCCTGAGTTGCATCATGAAGGAAGGTCCTTAAGTGTTATGGCTATTAAATATTTCCCAATTATGTCGTAATTCTATGGCATGAATTGTTACTTAATGCTTATGTCATTTAACACTAGTTCAGAGATTTAAGGCTTTAGAGTTTCACAGATTCTGATTGGTTTGAAAACAATCAATTACGATGACATTCATGGCAAATCAAAACAAAAATTAAACTCACTCATTCAATTTATTTATTATCAAGGCCAAACCATTTAAGGTTATTTAATTTTAGTCTATAATGAATGAACCAGAACAAACATAATTTACCCTGGTCATTCATGCAAATATTAAAGTATTTTGCAATTCAGATCATACAAATTATCAACAAAATGTCTGTATATTACAATAAGTCTTGAAATGTTTTCCAAAAGGTCTAGCACTGTTGAAACATACTTGTAATGCATAGATGCTTCAATTTAAGACAAGCATACCAAAATCAAACACCATGTTAGCAACACATCAGCATTTTTGTAAACTTCAACATGTAGGAAAGACAAACATAAACATGAAAAATGCTGATATGGCTTGAGTGAAAATGTGTTTTTATGTTCATTATATACAAACAAAATAAAGTTTGAAGGAAGTAATTTTTTCAAGAATCAAGATTTCACTGCACATGGGTGCACATTACAATGAATTAGAAAATGTCTGAAAGCAAAACGTTCATCCCATACAGCATACCTGACTGTCTGTGCATGTCTACACAAACAACGTATATCTACAAAATACAAAAAAATATCAAACACAAAGAATTTGTTCAATGTGTTTCAACATCAGCTCTCTTGCCAAGAAGCACATTTACACATAAAAATGATTAAGCTTCTTAACTTCATGCAGCATGTTGCAAGCAAAAATGTTGTTTGTTGATCCAAGCTCTGAACATGCTCTTAGGCAGTAAAAAGAGAATTAAAAATATATTTGAAAGCAAGAATTTTTACCTCAGCTCAAAAAATGCTATGCCAGTATGATCATGCTGTTTGGTATGAATTTGGCATGTGTGTAACTTGGAATTGGTGACAAAGCTTGTGCAGGACAAATGGGAGATTCTCAAGTTGTTGGTGCATCCAAGAAGGTAGTTGTGCTAGTGCATGATGTTGCCGGGAATTCCAGATTGGGGTAAATATTGCTGTTTGCGGGAACAATCGATCTGTCTATGGTTGTGTCCTCACCCATTCCTCACGTCCCAGACCAGCCCCTCGTATACACACGGATCAAGGTGTTTAAGTCGCAATTAGATTCATCTTCTTACAAGTGTATGTGTGTGCCGTAGTCTTGAATGTCAGTTGCTTACTTACTTTAGAAATCGGGGATCAATTTCGTCCTCCTTCGTCCAGGTGTTGAATGTATTTGTGGATCTTTCCACGCCTAGCATCTGTCGCCTGTATTTGTCATTACATAACGATATTGGACAAGTCAGTCACGCGATGCTGGCTGTGGAGAGTTTACACAGGATACTACGTAACCTGTTTGACTACTGCAGTTTGGTTTCACTCACAAGGGACAGTAATGGTTGTTACAAGGCATGTAATTCTTTGTAACAGGTATTTTGCCAATATTTGTTTGAGAGACCAAAAAAGTATGTTGACCTTACGGGACTAGTCTGAAAGCTGCATTGTAGAAGTTGGCCACACATGGGCGGTTATCAGACTATCCTACATGGTCACTGCCGAAAGCTCCAGTCTTTTTGAAAGTCATAGTCGGCTGCTATACCCTTGATAATCCAGGCTATCAGCCTAGCCTCGTTGACAATCACATTGTGATACTGTAAATATGTCAAAACCAGTTGGCATTGAATGGTATTTATAGAGAAGTGTGTTGACGGTTTTCATTGATCTGTGAGTCTACTTACTGTGCTTGTGTTTGGGAAAAGCTATTCTACCATACAAGGAAATGACACGTCTGCTTCTGTCCCGAGCATTTTGACTATCGACTATACATATATGGAGTGTTCCAGATTGTGGTGACAAAGATTACTCATATATTGGATTTATCATCTTATTGAACATGTTTCAACACTCTGGACGACTTTTGTAGACATTTTGTGACTTCATTCATGCTGGATTCTGTGTTTTCGCCAGACGTGTTGAGCCTGGATGCCAGTGATTATGTGTATTACTCCAGCGCATATTGCCTACTAAATTCCACAGTAGGCGTAGTCCTCTGATGGGCCAGTGTACTCTTATCTCTGAGGTGTGATATCTTGAATGGATCTTGGGTAACAGCATTATATCAAGGAATTTATGCAGACGCCTGTCAACTAGCAGAATGTATAATGAAGATCATGTTTGTAACAGATTAGAATCTATCTTTAGATGTTAACTAAAAACTCCTCCTGTGGTATCGTCCCCACTTATGATAACATGAAAGGACTGGATAAGGTGATATTAAAAAAAAACTGGGTATATTTGTTTTCAACGGAAGTGTACATATAGTTGTAAGTGAACTGGATCAAGATAAACAAGAATTGAGCAATATTCATCCACATAGAGTCGATGTTAGGAGAGGCTGCATAACCACCCTGAGTAATCAGTGGTGAGAGTTCTACACCGGCTGACCTGAGAGCTCAGGCTGCCTGCTGTATCACAGTACGGAGAAGTATGGAAGCTGTGAGAAGAGGGGCAGCACATCCTCAGATTGACACTGATTGATCTAAGGCACATACCTGTAGGTGCAGTCATTGCCCACGGTCACAGCATCTAGGAAGTCAGTGACAGTCTCACACCACTTCTGCCTCAAGGCAATTGGCGTCTGCTCCACCCCCAGTCAGCTGGACCGTCTGCTACCCAGCACACATATTTACTGGCTACCTATGTTTGTGTTGCTTCTCTGACAGCATTAACTGTGTGTGTGGTTTTCTCATACTCTGCGACTGTATCTCCCATGTCAACATGGTATAACGTGGGGTGTTCTGAGAGGAATATTCAAGTGTGTGGCATCGAACGGCTGGAAACTGTGTAACCAAGCAGCATAACCTATGTAACCTTCAGTCATGTTTTGTTGTCTGGGAGCTAAGAAAAGAAACTACTCGCCTGAAAATGGCGCTGTTTCGGATAGCCCTAATCCAAGCGTTGGTGATAAGTCTCTTAGAAATGGAAGTGTATCTATTTCAGCTCCTATCCCTTTCGTGGACGAAGACGTCAACACCGAGGATCACGTGTATGTGAACAGTTCCATTGATGAACTGACTCAGCTGTGTGCCAAGCAGGCCCGAGACAACAACAACTATCAGGTGAATACTGCATGTACTGACACAGATAAGACTGACGGTCAACTGGCACATGGTGGTGCCTCAGAAACAGGAACAGAAGAATCAGTAACCGAGGAACTAAGGGAAGCACAGCAACAAGTTGTCCTAGCATTAGCCGAGGCTGACAACATGTCACAGGACCTGCTAATGAATGCTGTCTCTCGACTGGAGAATGTTGCCACAAGGTTAGAGAACTTGGCTCGATCTCAACCAGCCAGTCAAACTTCCTCTTCAGCAGGGGATTCTGGTAAGTACCAACATGGTGGCCACCAAAATGGGGACCATCTCAAATTTAGATATGTGATTTTTGTGATCAACAAGTTTATATCATAAATACAAGTGTATTGTTGATGAAACCATTCTGTAAAAAGTCTGATTTTTTAACAGAATAACAGAATGAACAAATATTATTTAAAACTGAGAGAATTCATTTGTTAATGTTTTTATGTTGTCTAATATTCATGCTGCCTTCAGCAATATTACTGAATAAGGTCAACTATATTGATTCCATCACAGGTGTTTCGTTGATTCAATGGGTCTGTTTTGAAAATATATTTTAACACAGTTGCCACATTCACATGACAAATAAGGAACGAACATTCATATCATTCATCAATTTCATGTTCATTCAGCCTTGATACAATTATAAGCATTGAAACTTTCAGCTGGGATTGGACGATTGTAATTTTGATCTGTACCGTGAGAAAACCAATAATATGGATGTATGGCCATTTCATTAAAATATAGCGCTGCATTTATATGGTATGAATTTGTTTGTAATTAAATGCCAAAAACATTAAAACTAATTCATTATGATGATGATTTGGGGAGCAGGAAGAAGAGAGGAAGGTTGTTATTATTATATCGTTACAAAAACTCACACAATCTACATTAATGATATACTTAGTGATATATGTATATCATAAAGACCCTCCCTTGGGTGATGGAGGCTATTGCCTTGGGCTCTGATTACAGTGGTGATGTAATCCAGGATTGTATCTCAGTACCACTGCTGTGCATGTGTGATACCTGGAGAGAGTGTGTTTGGTCTGCCAGCACTTCTCAAACACCATGGTATGCCGGCAAGAGTGATGTACTGTATTTGCTGTATTAAGTGCTCTGCTCCTATATATGACCCACTCTGCCTGCTGTATGCACGAGTTTAGTTTTATACCACTTTTAGCAATATTCCAGCAATATCACGAGGGGAGACACCAGAAATGGGCTTCACACATTGTACCCCGGTCTTCAGCGTTATGAGCAAACGATTAAACAACTAGGTTACCCCATTCCCCTCTGACACCAGTATATAAGGAATCTTTGTTTGCACCCATTACAAAGGGCGAAAATGTTCAGCCTACTTTCTCTTGTGCATATTAGACACTATTTACAGAATACAGCAGCATAGAGGGGCATAATGACCTTGTATGTATTATCACAAAATATTTGTTGTTTACTTTAGAACCAACTTTGGTCACTCAGTGTGTGAAGCCAATTTCTGTTGTCCATGTCGTAATATTGCTTGAATTTGCTTGAAGTAACATGAAATCCTAATTCAATCAACCATAGATATTTTAGGTAGGAACGTGGATGATGACAGACCAAAGATTATTATCTGGAGGAGTCTGAGATTTTGACCCCCAATATCAGTACATCCTGGCTAACAATCCAGTCCAAATCTGGTCAATATCTTTCCAGGTCTGCCGTGTGTCTGTTAACAGCAAGCCATGGTAAACTCTGATTGAGACGTGTTGATTTCCAATCAATGATGTATCATGTTTTCTATAATTGACTACTGCAGACTGTGACCAACATCCAATTGATTGCAGAATGATATGCCAGCAGTGAAACAGTTGATAAAGATAAACACCCACAAAATGTTACTAATTAACTGTTTGAATGTTGTAATGGACCTTTTTTAAGTAAAAAGCTTATCACACCATGGTAACAGATGATTTTCATCCATTTTCGGCTATCATTGTCATCAGGTTTGTCATATCCAATCAGATGTCTTATTTACTTGGTCTAACTCATTGCCCTGCTGTCTGAGGTGCTGCAATTTACACTGCAGAGTTGTGTCCCTTGGGAATGCCAGAAACCGAGGACTGAATCCTGGTTTGGCTTGATTGTGTTTGGATATTTGGCAGCACCTTATATATGCTGGTGGGCATTCCCTGAGATGGAAAATGTCTGAGACTTGGAGTCTCTGTGGTCATCCTACTGACATGCCATGATATAACTGGAATACTATTCAAAGCAGCATCAAACCCAACTCACTCACTCTTATTTGTTACAAGATGTAGTGAAGTAATGTCATCTATAATGCCCTCTTGAAATATATGGGGCGATTGGGTAGCCTTATGGTTAAAGCGTTTGCCCGCCACACCGATGACCTGGGTTCAATTCCCCAGATGGGTACAATGTGTGAAGCCCATTTCTGGTGTCCCTCGCCATGATAAAACTAAACTCAGTCAGTCAGTGGAATATTGCTAAAAGTGGTGTAAAACCCAACTCACTCATTCACTCTTGAAATATAGGATTATCTTCTTTGTTTGTGTAAACCTGTAATTCAGTCCTGAGTGTATAATAAACATAACAAAACATTCAATTAAAATCAGAGGAAAGCCCATTACAGGTCTCATCAGAACAATTTGTGTGCTTCAACCAACTAGTGAAATTACCAACAAGAAGTCAACATTGTCTTTGGTCCTGTCTTACACTGTGAAGACTTGAGCCCATTAGGCATGCCAGAATTCTATGATTTAGGGTTTGATGTCTGATAATGATTTCTGGTGTGTCAGCTCATGGATTTTACAAAACCGGTAACCATCTGACGTCTGCATCACTTCAGACTTTCCTCCCAAGTTAACCTGCATACTGTGATATGAATAAGGTACTGTTCGAAGTGGGAATTATCTGAACTGAGACACTCGGTCATTACATCTGTCTCATGTGTCCGCTGTTCTTGTTTCAGAGGCTGCACCTTTCGTTGTTGCCTTTGATGCAATCACGAGTGGCCCATTTGCAAAGTATGTGTCACTCAGTTCATCTATAGGGGGTGATGTCAAGACTCAGGTGTGTATACAGATTGTTTATGTTAACGTTATGGAATAATGAGATTAACTCCCCTCTTGAATATTCTTGCATCGATTGTGTTCCAGGAGACACTGGAAAGTCTCTACTGCTACTCAACATATGACCAAAATTCCAAATAAGCATGTAGGAATGACCCATCAGATCCACTTTCATTCCTCTAAGTACATGAGATCCACTTTCACTGCCAAATAAGTATATGAGATCCCACTTTCAATGCCCAATTAATATATGAGATCCCACTTTCACTCCCCAATACGTATATCAGATCCCACTATCACTCCCCAATAAATATATGAGATCCCACTTTCATGCCCCAATAAATATATGAGATCCCACTTTCACTGCCCAATAAATGTATGAGATCCCACTTTCCACTTTCACTCCCAAATACATTATATCAGATCCCACTTTCACTCCCCAATAAATATATGAGATCCCACTTTCACTCCCCAATAATATATGAGATCCCACTTTCACTCCCCAATAAATATATGAGATCCCACTTTCACTCCCCAATAAATATATGAGATCCCACTTTCACTCCCCAATACATATATGAGATCCCACTTTCACTCCCCAATAAATATATGAGATCCACTTTCACTCCCCAATAAATATATGAGATCCCACTTTCACTCCCCAAAATATATGAGATCCCACTTTCACTCCCCAATACAATATATGAGATCCCACTTTCACTCCCCAAACAAATATATGAGATCCCACTTTCACTCCCCAATACAATATATGAGATCCCACTTTCACTCCCCAATAAATATATGAGATCCCACTTTCACTCCCCAATAAATATATGAGATCCCACTTTCACTCCCCAATAAATATATGAGATCCCACTTTCACTCCCCAATACGTATATGAGATCCCACTTTCACTCCCCAATAAGTATATGAGATCCACTTTCACTCCCCAATAATATATGAGATCCCACTTTCACTCCCAAATAAGTATATGAGATCCCACTTTCACTCCCCAATACGTATATGAGATCCCACTTTCACTCCCCAATAAGTATATGAGATCCCACTTTCACTTCATGAGATCCCACTTTCACTCCCCATGAGATCCCACTTTCACTCCCCAGTAAGTACATGAGATCCCACTTTCACTCCCAATATTATATGAGATCCCACTTTCACTCCCCCAATGCATGTATATGAGATCCCACTTTCACTCCCAATAAGTACATGAGATCCCACTTTCACTCCCACAAGTATACATGAGATCCCACTTTCACTCCCCAATAAGTATATGAGATCCACTTTCACTCCCAAGTAAGTATATGAGATCCCACTTTCACTCCCCAATAAGTACATGAGATCCCACTTTCACTCCCCAATAAGTACATGAGATCCCACTTTCACTCCCCAATAAGTATATGAGATCCCACTTTCACTCCCAATAAGTATATGAGATCCCACTTTCACTCCCAATAAGTATATGAGATCCCACTTTCACTCCCCAGTAAGTACATGAGATCCCACTTTCACTCCCCAATACGTATATGAGATCCCACTTTCACTCCCCAATAAGTATATGAGATCCCACTTTCACTCCCCAATAAGTATATGAGATCCCACTTTCACTCCCCCAAGATCCACTTTCACTCCCCAATAAGTATATGAGATCCCACTTTCACTCCCCAATAAGTATATACATGAGATCCCACTTTCACTCCCCAATAAGTATATGAGATCCCACTTTCACTCCCCAAGTAAAGTATATGAGATCCCACTTTCCTCCCAAGTAAGTATATGAGATCCCACTTTCACTCCCCAGTAAGTATATGAGCACTTTCACTCCCAATAAGTACATGAGATCCCACTTTCACTCCCCAGTAAGTATATGAGATCCCACTTTCACTCCCCTCAGTAAGTACAGATACATGAGATCCCACTTTCACTATGAGATCCCTTTCAAGTAAGTATATGAGATCCCACTTTCACTCCCCAATAAGTACATGAGATCCCACTTTCACTCCCCAAGTATGAGATCCCACTTTCACATGAGATCCCACTTTCACTCCCCAGTAAGTATATGAGATCCCACTTTCACTCCCAGTAAGTACATGAGATCCCACTTTCACTCCCCAGTAAGTATATGAGATCCCACTTTCACTCCCCAAGTAAGTACATGAGATCCACTTTCACTCCCCAGTAAGTACATGAGATCCCACTTTCACTCCCCAGTAAGTACATGAGATCCCACTTTCACTCCCCAGTAAGTACATGAGATCCCACTTTCACTCCCCAGTAAGTACATGAGATCCCACTTTCACTCCCCAAGTAAGTACATGAGATCCCACTTTCACTCCCAAGTAAGTACATGAGATCCCACTTTCACTCCCCAGTAAGTACATGAGATCCCACTTTCACTCCCCAGTAAGTATATGAGATCCCACTTTCACTCCCCAGTAAGTATATGAGATCCCACTTTCACTCCCCAAGTAAGTACATGAGATCCCACTTTCACTCCCCAAGTACATGAGATCCCACTTTCACTCCCAAGTAAGTAAGTATATGAGATCCCACTTTCACTCCCCAGTAAGTACATGAGATCCCACTTTCACTCCCCAGTAAGTACATGAGATCCACTTTCACTCCCCAAGTAAGTACATGAGATCCCACTTTCACTCCCAAGTAAGTACATGAGATCCCACTTTCACTCCCCTAAGTAAGTATATGAGATCCCACTTTCACTCCCAAGTAAGTACATGAGATCCCACTTTCACTCCCCAGTAGTATATGAGATCCCACTTTCACTCCCCAGTAAGTATATGAGATCCCACTTTCACTCCCCAGTAAGTATATGAGATCCACTTTCACTCCCCAATAAGTATATGAGATCCACTTTCACTCCCCAATAAGTATATGAGATCCACTTTCACTGCCCAATACGCATATGATATCCCACTTGTCACTCCACAAGTATTTGAGATCTCAATTTCACTGCCCAGTTAATATATGAGATCCCAATTTCCATTCTAAACAAGAACATGAGATCCTACTTTCACTCCCGAAGATTCAGAACATCCTGCGAGTGAAACATACACTTCATTTATTACTTTCAGTTAAATGTTCATGAATGACAATTAGATCACCACTTGACTGATAACAGCATTAATTTGGATCAGACAAGCAAGTGAAATCAAATATCAAACCATACAACCTGTACAGGCCTGCCTTTCACTTTGCATTGATTTTACTAGATGGGGACTGGCCATGCGACATGTAGATTATGCAAGTAAGGTTAAATTATTTTACAGGTTGTTAATATACCTTGTTACAGAGTTACCCCTCTTGATTTTGCAGAGTGATCTGGTCCAGGCTGCTTTCCAAGCACAGAGACAGTTCCTTGTTGTCGCGTCACAGAGCAAGCAGCCAGCCCAGGTTAGTGCTGGAGCATATTTACCTTTGTTGCAGATGTTATTTAGTTGACAGGAGCTCAGTCCATAAAGATCACATGCTTGACTAACACTCCATCTCCTGTGTCTGCTGTGTAATGAACACAAGACTGGTTCCCTGTCACTACACGAAGTGAATCCTAACAAATAGCCTCAGACAGCAATGCAACCTGCAGTACTCACATATGTTACTAGTTTACTGACTGAAGTAATGGTGTTATAACTGGTTTCTGCCAAAACAGTACCCCAAGTAAAATCATTCAGACATGTATTGACAAAAGCCCAGTCAGTAATAAACACATACGTTTTTCTGTGTAAACTTCAGAGACAACTATAGACAGATGCCCAGTCTGTTATAACATATGTTGTTTCCCTCACAACTAATGTTACTTCTATAGACAGATACTCAGTCTGTAACATGTTCAACTGTAATTGTGAGATTGCTTTCACGTAAATAGCTGTTTCAAATTTCCATATGACTTACTCAAGGCTTTTCTCTTCATCATGACTGATGAAATCTTCTCTTCTTGAGCTGTAAAGACAGGCCTCAGAGGTCAGTGGTCAAGGTCACAATACTTAAAGCAGTGGTCACATATATTTATCAACAAGTTTCAAATAGGATGAGAATACATGATATGAACTTCATGATACTCAGAGCGTGAATGAATGTTGTTTGATACTGTTGCCTACAATATTCCACTGAACAACTAAGGCAATTAAACTGAGTGAGTGAGTTAAGTATTACGCCACCCTCAGCAATATTCCAGCTATATGGCGGTGATCTGTAAATAATCAAGTCTGAACCAGACAATCCAGTGATCAACAAGCGTGAGTTTGTTGCAGGCAAACCTTTCACTTATGATGTTTGCGATGATTCAAGTCAGAGAGCCTTACAACCCGATCAGCCGATGCTTATCATGAAAGGCAAAAGTCAGGATGAGGTAGTCAGTCTCACTGACCTGGTTGATGCAGGTCATTCATTACATAGATCGATGCTTGCTATGTCACCCACTGGATTCCCTGATTCAGACTTGTTTACAGAAATTTCATATAGCTGGAAAATTGCTGAGTGCTGCATTATACAACACCCAAACAAACTGACAACCTGATCCAATTCCGTAATCTCTCTTGGAGTACTGGCTCTATGCTCACCCTTCTCCCAGCAGCCGATGAAATTGTACATATGTAGTTTATTATATGACCATGTTAACTAGACGATATTGTTTCAGCTTGAGATACACAACTACTTGAATAGCAAACAAACTGTCAATATGAATCTTAAATGCAAAATATGTGGGTGTGAGTGCAGGTCATCAGATGGTAGAAACAGGCAGGGCCAGCTGGTTCTGCTCTGCTGTCATATGTTTTGCAAATACAAAATTGTTTATGTTGTTTTACAAGATTTCAGCATGTTTACAATAAGCAGTCAAATTTTAAGTTAGCTGAGCAGGTTTTTGTATTTAACATTAATCATTTTCAATAAATATTTAACTCAAGTTACATTTACGCTACTTTTTAGCTGTTTTATGTTAAACAGTACATCCAGCCAGGATCCAAGCATGGACTCTGTTCATGCAAGTAGTTCCATGACAACTAATGGAGATTGTGTAGTTCAAATTTGATCTATTGTAGACTGCAATTCCAAGCACTTATGCAACACTTGTGAGTCAGACCAGAGCCAAAATCCTCAATTAGATGTTAAATAAAACTGGTTCAGGTAATGCTGTCGTTTATGGATGTGAAAAACATTCGTTGAACAACAGTACTAATGTATTAAACATGCTTCACTTCAGTCAGTATTTAATATATTTTTATCAAGTTCACCAACAACTTCATGTCAGATATTTTTTATTCATTTATTTAAAATCTTTTTTAAAACCAAGCTATGAAATTAGTTGTCAGAAATCAGTTGAGCATAAAATGCAAAAAGTATGTTGTATCCATTTGGAGATGTGACTAGCCTGCAATGACCAATGACCAGTCATGACAAGTATCACCAGTCATGTAACAAGTATCCCTAGCGCAAAAGTCGCTAACACAAATTATCTCCCTTCTTTCTATCCAATCAGAACACCTGTTAAATGATTAGATTCAACTTGGTAGAAATTGCTCCAGACAAAAAGTCTTGTGTTCCTGCTGCTCAGTATATTATATGTAATGCCTGAGTTTTTGGATTGATAATTTAGAACATTATTATGACTAAATTATTTTGGATCTTGTAAAATTATTTTATATTATATCATAAGATGTCATGACAGAGTTGCGTGAGGAAGAACAGTAACAGTCATTCAGTCACTGTCAGTGTAGCCATCAGATTCACTGTTCTAAGCCAGTTAGAACATTATTATGACCTCATCATTCTGTTTCTCAGCTGAAGTCATTCAGTTGTGCTCACTGTTCAAACAGCAATCAGCTGAATCTTCAATATGCATTTGCATTGGGTGCAAGTTGTGTGAAGTTGCACTTTGCAGTTTTAGGTTGCACCAGTGCATCTGCAAGTTCTAAATCCTTAAATCGAGCCCTGTGTTCGTATGGTATATTCTGCAAGGCAAACACAGCAATACAGCAATATAGCATCCACATGGACTTGTTGCAGTTGTATTGGTTATTTCTCTGTATTGTAAAGAAGATTTTTCTCAGGAATATAGATATAAACTTCAGGGAGAATATGGAATGTCCTGGGGCCTTGTACTTTAGGAATACTTAAAGTGGCATGCCTGATTTTTAATGATTTAACAGTAAGCCATTGACATGGATTCCTAGAATTGTATGTAGTCTTTTTTTAGTTCTGTATTTTGTAAGGACCTATTTTCCAGTTGTGAAAAAACATTACCATTTATTATGTAACGCTTGGTGAATAGAGTGCCATATTCCACTCACCTAGTCTACATGAGCAGCTAATGAGGCACAATGCACCAAATATTGGCTAATTTATATCTCTTGGGTCAGTACACCCTCCCTGGATGAACCTCACTGCCTGGCTCAACAGGAGAACACCCCAACTGGCAGCCAGGTTAAAGTCATTCCAGCTTGTAGCCTCTTTTTCAAATGGGAGCCTGTTACGTTTTGATGTGCCCAATGACTACTTTCTGCATAGACTGAAAATACTACAATTATCACTGCCAGGGATATTACTTTAAACCTGTGTATAGCATCACTACCCACAGGCCAAGTAATCCGCCTTTCAGGGATGGCTTACCTAAGAAAAAACAAACAACGGAACCAACTGCTAGATCATTCATGCTTTTAATTACTTAGCTGTCAAATTTAACTTAGAGAGGCATTTTAATTGAAATAAATGAGAAGACAGCTGCTTTCCTACATGCTTCAGGTTGCAAGACTGATCACTGAGAGTTTGTTTTAAAACCGCTCTCATTGTTTTCTCTTGGAGAACGTACTGACCCCATATCTGTGAAACACTGGAAACGTTTAAAGTTTGACAGCTGCAGGGGGTGTGAAACACTGACAGAGTCTTACCTGTGATGTGCTGTTTTTAGATTAGTTTCACAAGAGGAAATACCACTTTGTCTTCTTGTTTTGGAATTAGTTTTTTCTGTTTGTTTGATATGAGGCCCGTGGTATGTGATTTGAAAAAGAGTGTTAAACCTGTAAGATCCCCTACAGAGCCCTGACAACAAGAGTTGCTTGTGTAGCATGTTTTTAGAACATGTCTGTTGAACATGTTAAATGGCCAATAGGGTTGCAGTTGGATTATAAATCACCTACTTTTTTAAATCAGTAATTATAAATACTATATACTTCCTTGAAAAACCTTATGGCCACTAATATCAATCACCAAAAAATGTGAACTTATTTCAATTCAGAATCATTCTGCAGCAGCTCTTTTGGGTAGAATAACACTTGCTTGTTCCATGAGGATACTTTGCTCAGTGTTCTTGCAGATAGTAGGGTGAAATTATATGGCTGTTGAGCGTTTAGTGGTGTGTTATCTTGTAAACCAGGATGATACGGTGACCACCAGATAGAGCCATGTCTTTGATCCAGACAAGGATCAGATGACTCCACAACATTAACACAGACTTACATTTGTAGCATTTAATTGCTTTGTGAACACCATCCAGTTGTATTTTGAGACCTCTTTTTTTAACATTAGGTTTACAGATTGTTCTTACAAATTCAAAGGTCCATAGGTGGAGTTTAGGTTAAAATAGAATTTAAACAACACCTGAAAAGTATTGTTGGTCAGCAGAAATACAAAACAACAGGATAACTATTTTCAGAGATACAAATCGGTTGGTTTTTTCTCTTCCCATATTGGCCTAGGTCGGTTTCAATTTAATTGAATTAGCTAATAGCTTTGACAGTCAAATTTTTGGTCTATTCCACATTTGCCAAATGTTAGTTAATTATATCCATAGCCAAAAATATTGTATAAAACACACCTAACTGTTGAGTTTGTGGTATGAAGGCATTATGCTCATGCTATTGACCACTGGTTGCCTGGTCCATTCATGTCATTATGGAGATAGTGATGATGTGCTGTTGGTGACACCATTAGACACAGGGTCTATGTCAATATGTTGGTATGTCAATATTTGTATTTGAATTTAAGAGCAATTCTGGAATCTGTGAGAATTCCTGACATCGTTTGAACCCAATGACTCTGTGTCTTTTGTTTCCACCTTACCACTGGGACAGGAACTTGATAACTTGATATAAAGTTTGTGTTAGAGTCATGCCATTGGATTCCTCATACGAACATCTGAGAAAAAAAATGGAAGGAAAAAATATCTTCCGTGTATGAAACATATTTCCTCCCAGGACAAGCAGGCTTCAGTCATGTATGACATTTATCGTGTAGCCCAAGGCCGTCCAATCCACATGCATGACTCCCATGTGTCCTTGAGGTGGTTGTCCAGAATATCAACACTGTGTCACATGGTCTTACAAATATTGGTAATCAGGCCAAAACGAATAAATGGCTTGTTTACTTTACCATGGTAACTTGACAAATTCAGCATGCAC